TTATTATGACTACCAGGAATGTAACTCTCTGGCTCTCCTTAGCAACTAGATAACCAGAGAACGAAGCTTCTCTGAAACAGCATGTAAAATTTTCCTACCACAGACACAGACATTAAATCAAGATGGATGCTATTGGGACAATCTTAGGACTACATATCCCATTCTAATACACATAAAAACACAAATCATCACACCGTACACTCTATATTTTTAGTGGAAATGTTGGGGGGGTCGTCTTATATGCCAGCAAATACGGTATTCAAATATTTAAAAGGATCAAACAAATACTGTACTACACTAAAAATGGTAAACAAAAGCAGCACCAAAACCACATTCAAATGGTAACAAACAACCATTCATTTAACACACACACACACAAACACACACACATACACACACACACAGAGAGAGAGAGCAGCCAGTCACTCAGGAAAGTTTGCCTGAAGAGAAAGGTCTTTGCCTACTTGTAGAAGGACATTAAAGATGAGGCCACCCTAGTCTCCAGTGGAAGAGAGTTCCAAAGTCTGGAAGCAGCAACATTGAAGGCCCTCTCTCGTGTCCCCACCAAATGCATCTTCTATGATTTATTTGTTCAGTGTGTGTTAGTTTAGTGCTCAGTTTATTGTTGATAAAACATAATTTTTTAAAAAGTATCAAAGCAAGTGACAGCACTTTGTCAAAAGTAAGAATAGTTTTCAGTTTTGCAGCAAAGAGCATTAAATGTCATGCAACTTAGAACAGTTTACATCTTTGAAACTAGTATATCCCTCCAAATGTTTAATTTCTTCAAAGTCTAATAAAATGGAAACACTGCAAGGCAGGTTCTATGACTTCTCATTCTTGTAGTAACATATATATATGTGCATATACAGTGGTGCCTCGCTTAACGAGCGCACCATATAACGACGAAATCGCATAGCGATCCGTTTTTTCGGATCGCTAATGCGATCGCTCAACGTTTTTTTAATAGGGCAAAATTCGCTTTGCGAAGACCGGTAAGCGTTTCGCTTACCGATCTTCGCAAAACGAAGCCCGACAATCAGCTGTTTGGCGGCCAAAATGGCTGCCGGAAGCCCGGAAATGGCCCAAACTCGCCGTGTGCGTTTTTGCGCCCTCGTTAAGCGAGGCGAGGGCGCGAAAATGGCTGCCGGCCATTAAGAAGCATCGCTGAACGGTGAGTATTCGGCCCATTTGGAACGCATTAAACCATGTTTAATGCGTTCCAATGGAATTCCCTGCCCCGTTCAACGATGCTTCAGCATAGCGAAGGTTAATCCGGAACGGATTAACCTTGCTATGCGAGGCACCACTGTATATGTAAGTAAATGTGTCAGCCAGTCTGGGACTAAAATTGTATTTTAAGTGAGGATCCAGGGAAAAAAGCGTTCAAGCTTATAGTAGCTGTAGACATGTGTATCATTGTGCTGGAAAATAGTCCTATACTTTGGTTTGTTTTTTGTTTTTTTCTGGTTTATCAGCCAATTTGCTAGCTTATCAATTACTTATCACCAATTCAAAATCAAAAGGCTTTATTGAAATGAAAAATTACTAAGGGTAAAATACAGGTACATGCAAGTAGAAGTCCAGAAGAAAGAGCTTTATCCAACTGTGTGAAAATGAGAGATGTGTGTTTTTGGTGTCATATGCAGCTACTGGAATATGAACATAAAATCTCAAAACAAACAAAACCTCCCACTGACTTAATGCATCCCGAGGAACAGTAATTGCAGTAGGAAGCTGTCTGTGCTCTAAAATCTCCGCTCCAGTTAAAGCGCTGGCCTTAGTAATTCATAGCTCTTAATAAATCTGTTGAATATTAACCGGCTTCTATATTTTTCCTGTTGCATTTGTTTGACCATTAAAGTGCCCTTTCCTCCTCTGTTTTAGCTGGCTGTGTCCTTGTCCTAGCCAGGAAATTTGTTCCTTACGCATGCTTTGGCCTTTTTGGAATCATTTTCATGCAGGTGAGTTGGAATGTTGAAGGAAGGTGCATACCTGTGTGCCGTCATGAGAAAGATAGGCTGAGACTCGTTCAGTAGGTCCTGGGGTCGTGAGCAAGTGGTTCTGAAGTGTTCCTTCCATTTCTGGATAACTTGCTCAACATACCTTTTTGGGTGAAAAGAGAACTTTGGCATCAGAAAGGCTAGTAGATTTGTTGGAGCAGAGGCATTTATGGGTAAGAGCAGTCTTCCCAGTTTAGGAGTTCCTGGATGGGTAGCAGGACAATTCCCAACCTGCCCAGCTAGCATGTCGAGTAGAAAGACAAGAGATCATTTTTTTTCTTTTCTTGTACATATTTGAACTCAGCCTGAAATTGGGAAACTCCTTTTGCTGCATTTTACATGTTGTTCTTCTCTGGCACCATTGTTCAGACTTGCCGAAATAAGAATAACTATCCCCTTGCCAAAGTGGGCTCTAGTCCAGGAAAGCTTCTACCATAATCAATCTCCAAGACTCTTTTGTTGTTCTTTCTGCAGCAGACTTAACACAGCATCTCCTCTGGAATTCATTATACACTAACAGTAATTTATTCTGCAATGATGTTGTGTTTACCCCAAAGTAAAGGGTGTAGAAGTATGTCAGAGAGTCTAATGTGCAGAGAGAGAGAGAGAAAAAAAATTGTCCTGGTTCAAAGGCGGTTCAAAGGTGTTCATAATGATTACCAAGAAAGTACCTTCTATCTCAGAAACACTGACGGTAGCAGAAGCCATAATCAATGACAGTTGTCTTCATTTCTTTTCTAGACAATTGCCTACAGTATTTTATGGGATCTGAAATTTTTAATGAGGTGAGTGAAACCTTTAAAACATGATGTATGTTAACTTGCGAAAAGGCATAGGGGCAGGATTTGAATATAAGTATTGTGGGAGAGGGCTATCCAAGTTGGAGAGCTTACTGGTGTGCACGAGAAGAGCCCATGTCTCAGGCTGATAGTGGTAAGATTACTCAGGATGGGAGACAGGGACCATGATCTCATGTAGGTCCAGCTTCAGGATTGTAGGTCAGTGACAACACACTTGGCAACCTGGCACATTCTGATAATGCCCTGGGCCTGTCTGCCTCAGAATCCCCCTCCCCCATTGCAGGCGATCCTCATTGTAGGCATCTGGTTATGCTACATCTCAGGGTCCTTTACTTTGGGCACAACCAGTTCCTGCAGAATGAAAAGGAAAAAAAATCCACTCGCAATTATTATATGAAGATGAAAAGCACATGAAGTTTGCAGGTTGTTTTCTTTTTCCTGCCTCTTCTTAGGGTTATGAGGGAGCAAGAGGCAGTGATAGATATAATATGCCTTCCTTTCTAGAAGTTGGAGGTGCGTCATATTCTCTAGTAATCCAAAATATACATTTTGTGTAAATATTTAAATCCAAAGGTAAATAATTTTAGATACTATATTTATTCTTAGTAAATTGAAATCCAAAACTTTTTGAAAGATAATTTAATGCTTCAGGCCTCCATAGAAATTTCCTAGTTGCATAGGTTACAGAGGCTCCAGAAGCAAAACATACATTTTTAATATTGTATCTGTGGCTTAGAGGCTGGTACTTTAATCATTATTGTCCTCAAGCATAAACTGAGAGAACCAATTGAAGAATCTGGAGTCCTTTGCTTTTGGGTGGGAAAAAAAACCATCAGTGCCCTTATGATTTGGACAGTCTTACTGGCAATATCTTACTAGTTCTAGAGGCAGGGCTTTCAGAGAGCCTGTCATCTTCTTCAGTGATTCAAATAAGTGCTTACAAGATGTTAAGCAAGCAGTAGACATGGAAGGCAAAAAGACTGGGTACAGTCGCAGGTTTCTGTCTGCTATATTGTCTAAGCTCTTTATATACGCTTCCCCCCTTCCTTGTAGGAATTTGGCTCTTGGAGGTGGACTGCTTCTGCTCCTTGCAGAATCTCGTTCTGAGGGGAAGTCCATGTTTGCTGGAGTCCCAACAGTGGATTACACCTCACCTCGGCAATACATGCAGCTTGGTGGCCGGTTGCTCCTTGTTCTCATGTTCATGACACTGTTGCACTTTGAACTTGGTGCCTTCGCTGTGAGTGTCCTCTCCATTTATTGTCTGTCTAACAGTTTGTATGTTTTAACTGGAAAACAAGCATGTGCACCAACTTTGGCAAGCTCATGTTAAGCTTATCGCAGGATAGCAGTGATAATAAATAGGCCAATCTGTTGAAGTTTGACAAAGCTTCCTGTCCTGTAAAGCAGAGGTCATCCACCCCTGGTCCGTGACCCAGTGCCAGTCTGTGGCCTGATCCGGACCGCGCCGCAAACAGACCTCCTGCCTCCCCTGCACGCACCCCCCCACAGCTGCTTTGTGCACATGGGCGCTTGTCAGCGCCTGCGTGAGCACTCCCCCACCCCTTCGCACATACACAGGGGCGCCTGCACACCCACCTGCGTGCCCCCCCACTGTTTTGTGCATGCACCCGCATGAAGGGGTGCGTGGGGGCAGGCGGCCCTGCACATGCGCGAACGGGTGGGGGAGCATTCACACCAGCGCAGGCAGGCGGGTGCTCCTCCACCTCTGCGCATGCACCCAAGAGCACGTGCGCACCTGTGCACATCTGTGGGGGGCCTGCCTTTCTCAGAGGCTCAGCCGGTCTGCAGTCCCAAAAAGGTTGGGACTGCTGCTGTAAAGCAGAGATACTACTTCTCTCGGGTGTTAGTTCAGGCTCATGCAGCCGTGGTGCTTGAAAAAGTAGAAAATCTGCTCTACTGTACTTCAGGCTTCCCTCATTTCATTCCTATTTTGGAGTCTTCTGCTAGCTGTCCCTTTCATCTGTTCTCATGACCATTTATTCTTTCTTTCTGAGGGTCATATTGTAAAAGGAAATCAATTAAACAAACTAAAAAAAGGCAGTTGCACTTCAAAGCAGCTTTATTAGTGAAATCTGTCATCTGTGTTTGCACAAGGGGAAACCTTTTAATAAATTATAGGTATAGTAGAACTCCCATATTTGCTGGTGATTGATTCCAGGGTTAAAAACCACAGTTAATAGCATACATAGCTATACATGGTAAAGGTAAAAAGAAAAAAAATTCACATGCATTATTAAAGGGCACCAGAGACCATGCTAGGTATTCTTTACTAGCAAGTATTCATAACACAATCTCCTTCTAGTGGCTGGTTCTGGTAATAGTGGCGAAAACAGTTTTTTCCGGATTTTAAAATTATTTTCAGACCATTTAATATTTTAAATTTTTTCAAACCATGGATAAGTGAATCAGTGGATACCGATCCCATGAATAAGGAGGTCCTATTGTAATTATTTTAATAATGTTTACCTATAATTTATTAATAGGTTTCCCCTTACAATGTGTATTCTGCAGAAATAACATGTAGACACACACTTTGGTATTGGAGCAGAATTCCACATTTTAGGATCCTTTTCATTATCAGAAAAGAAGGTTGCTAGTCCTTATGGCCATGAACATGGGCTGTAGGGCATCTGGGCAAAACCTTGTGAAATCTGAGAAGCCTCAGGCAAGAGTGAGCATGCTGTCAGAATGTTCAGAGACATTGTTGCCTATTCAAAGCAGTAGCAGCACACTGAAATAAGTCACGGCAGGTAAGTACCTGCACATTTCTGTGATACATAAAGGCAACTTCAGTGCAGGTCATATCTTGCATATTTAAGGTCTCTGGCTAATCTCATATGAATTTTAAGCATGGAGGAACTCCATTGCTGAGGAGAGAATTGCAGTGAATTGCTGTATCCATAGCCACAGAGGCTGATACTTTAATTTTCTTTTTTGCTCCCAGATCTTCCAGGACATCTTTGGCATGGTGCTCATCATTTTGGTAGCGATTGGCTTTAAAACCAAGCTTGCTGCTCTTACACTGGTCATCTGGCTTTTCATCATCAACCTGATCCAGAATGCCTTCTGGAGCATCCCCACCTACAGGCCCCTTCATGACTTCCTCAAATACGACTTTTTCCAGACCATGTCTGTCATAGGTGGCCTGCTGCTGGTCGTAGCTTTGGGACCTGGAGGGGTTTCCATGGATGAACACAAGAAGAAGTGGTGAAGATGGACTGTGAACAGGGCTTGGAGCAGGGCGGGAAAGGTGGGGTGGGGTGACGATAAATTACAGCTTTTACAAACCTGTGTAGAATTTTATTCTCTGAGTGATCCTCTTGAGATTTATCATGGTTCACGGTTGCCTTATCAGGGTGGGAGAGCCTTTGCTTCCTATCCTGTTTGAGACATGTAAATTAAAGTTGAATTATATATATATGTATGAATGTACATATGACTTAGTGAATTTTCACACCTATCTTTTGAGACTCTCTGGGATACTGGGAATTTTTATCTTCTCACACAAGGGGCCAGGACAGAAGCAATGGCACAATAAGAAGGATCTCTTAAGGACTGATCTTCCCATCAGAATGAGGCAGGCCAACTTGCATTCTTAATTCTTGTACTAAAGAGAAAATATCTTTCTGGAGGTGCTTTGCCTTGTGTCTAGGAACTGAGATTTGTTTCTCCCTTCTCTTTCTTCCCCGGCCTCCTGCCCCACAAAGTCCTTAGGGTATACAGGATATAGGAACTGATAAATGTTTTGAAGAGGGTTTGCTAAATTACAAGCAAGATAATAAATATGACATCAGAAGAATTGAAAAACAATAATAAAAGAGCTCGTGAAACAATCATCAAGAAATGACATGAAAATGAGAGAACTATTTTTAAAGCCTGATTTTTAAAGGTCTTTTAAAAAGGATTTTTTAAAATTTATTTTAAAAATGTTAAGGAGCTAATAACGTGTACCATCAGATTATCTTTCATTCCTGTGCATATTGTTGCAGGATAAGGTGGTCCTTTAGGGGCCGTGATCCCAGATCATGTAAGACATTTATTAGTAACTCACTGCAGCATTTTGCCATATGTGCCGGCGTACAAGACGACTTTTTGGCCCTGAAAAACATGCCTCCAAGTGGGGGGGGAGGCGTCTTGTACGCTGGGTGCATGTCCAGCAAACCCTCCCTCTCTCCCAGTGAAGTCACTTACCTGGTAGTAAGACCCAGTAGAGCCCAGCTCCTAGCCTGGGAACAGCCTGACTCTAGCGCCAAACAGCTAACGTAGAGCCCAGCTCCTAGCCTGGGAACAGCTGACTCAGGAACAGCAGAGAGGAGGCAGCCATTTTGAGATATAACCACATGGCTGCTGCCTCTCAAAATGGCTGCCGCCTTTCTGCTGTTCCTTCTTCCAGCAAACCCTGGCTCTCTCCGAAAAGGAACCAAAAGGGGCAAAAGGAACTCTCCCCATGATGCAGCCAAAGCAGAATCACACATGCGGAAGAGGGGGTAGTCTTATACTGCAAGTATATAACAAACTCTCTCATTCTGAGTGGGAATGTTGGGGGGTGGTCTTATACGCCCAGTCACCTTATACACCGGCAAATACGGTAATAGTGATCGGAAACCAAGTGGAAACTAGCAAGTTCTTTTACCACCACCACCCAGTGCTATGTCTATACAAATGACTGCTGCAGTCAGTAACACATGAAACCTTCAAGTCTTAACTGTTTTTATTTCACATAAGTTTTTGTGGACTGCAGCCCACTTCGTTGGACTCACATGAAGAGACCAGAAGTCACAGAAGCTGTCTGCCCTCAAAAATTAATTCTAACAAGGAAGAAACACATAGGGTCTTCTAATAGCACTGTGTTGAAGATGAGAACAGAAATATGAAATATGTCCTGTCACAGGGGTACATCTGCACCCAGAGATCTTCTCTGTCATGGTTTGACTGTTTCTCCAGCCTTCAAAACTCATCTGTTGCATTTGATGCCCTTTCCCCTCCACTTTGAGGAGGTCGGCAGGGGTGCCTCTGGCAGGCTGTCTAATCCACACCCCAAGTGGGTGATGTTCTCTGTTTATTAGGGAAGACTCTGTAAAACAAGCCCAGGCTACAAAATGCAGCAAAACAAATTGATGGTGTCCTTGACCATTTTAAGAATAAAGGCAACAAGAAACAGTTCTCTTTGTCCCCCTCACCCCTCCAGTGATTAAGGCAGCCACCCTACACAATTATGTTAGTGTTTCATTACTTTGCACTTAAGTTTCAAAACACCCACGTCTTTATCCTTTCCTTTACTTTACAGAAGAAAGCTGTACTCTGCCCCCTGCCCCCCTCCATTTTTAACATTTCTTTTGTTTTATTGTGAACTGTGGTATGATCTTTCTCACATATTCTTTGCTGCTTGCAAAATCTGAAACTAGTCCTGATGTTCTGCCAATTTATACTGGGCTGTTCAGAGGCAGCTGCCACAGCTGCAACAGAAGAGAGATCCATCTTCAAGTCATTAGCCAGTTGTAGAGGGTTGAGAGCAGGCCCAATTCATAAAATGGTCTCTCAGAATTTTACACAGCATGTGTTGGAGGTGAGATGTTGGGGAGCCGGAAAGTGTTTTGCTTAAGATTCTGTGAGGTGAAGTGAAATTCTTCAGCAGTCAAGACTGGGGAGAAAGTAGCCTTTGGCTCAATTAATAGAAATTGGCAATGAAGTGTCTGTTAGATGTTATCACCTCAAAGTATGTAGTTCTTAAGAGATTTTTTAAAAGAAAACATGGCCCTTAATGTATTTTTGTCAAAAGGAGGAGTATAGAAGGAGTGGAAAAACATGGGAGGGCTACAAATGTAAGATGTTGCAAGTAACCCTTGTAAAACTTAATTTGTGAGGCAGGATGATTGCACAATGAGAGCCTCATCTGAGTTCCTGACTCAGGCCTGAACATATCATCTTCATAATGTCACATACTTCTGCCTCTTTGGGATTCTGTCAACATCATGACAGGCTGGTTTTTAATCTCCTAAAAAAAAGTGACTGCTTACCCAAGAACACAGTTAAGGACATATCCTTAATGGCTGCTGTACCTATTCTAACATTTGTTTGTCTGTGACGGGGTTGAAGTCGGAACTGATTCAAATGTTAAAAAAAACAACCCATGGGATAGTCGACATGGCATTTTGTCATTTCAAATTCTTAACGTCTTATGACTGCAGGAAGTCAATGAATGCATATAAGCGGTGGAAGTAGAGCATCCTCGTTAATTACTTACAGAGAACTGGAGCCTAAAGCAGGAGCTCTTTGAAAGCCGTTGTAAACATTGCCCTTACAAGAGTTCTAAAGGGTGTTCATTCCCCGACATTTCTGTTTTGACATTATTTTATAACATTTGAAGCAATAAATGGTTTAAGGTATATTGCGTACTTCCTAATATGGAAAGTCTTCTACACAGCGAAAAACAGCACAGAGACATCTGCCTCTTAGATGTGCTAACTTCCATTAAGTTATTACACAGGAAAGAATATTCAAGTATTCATGCATGCTGTACCTCACAGGATTGTTCTGTGTGTTTTTCTGAATATCTCAGTATGAAGGAAGTGTGTTGGGATTTTTATATCGATAATGGGAGATGAATTTGTTTTCGTTAACCTAATGAACTTCTCACACTCCTATCTAGTCCAGGGTTCATCCCAGCCAGGAATGCTGCTATTTCTTTGTTACATCATTATAATGGGATGATCCAAACTGTAACAGATTCTTTCCAATGCTACCTATGGTACATTTTTTAAAAAATTTCCAGTCTGAAATTTAATTATAAATTCCCACAAAGCCCCCCCCAAAAAAGAGATATGTTTATTTTACATTTAACATTAGGAGCTTTCATAAGTGAAACATTAAAAACTAAAATAAATATTTTGGACAATGTTCAAAACAAATTGTGAAAACAAATCGACACAAAGCAGACTTCTACTGTCCATGGGACAAAGGGGGAAGGGAATCCTATCAATGTATAGGAAACGATGACTTATTTATTTTTCTGAAATGTTCATTATATTTCTTCCATGCTGAATACAAAATAGCCAAAAGACGTTTACATGGCACTTTTGTTGATCGCTCAGTGAGTTAGGCACCTGGCTGAAGAGCCAGAGGTTGAAAGTTCAATCCTCCACTGTGCCTCTTGGGAGATGAGCGAACCTAAAATCATAATCAGCTTTGTGAATACGGAAGAAAAGTACAATACATTAAGGAGTTTGCACACCTAATTGCTTTGTACAAGAACTTTTGTAAATGCAAAGTGAAAGGAAAAAAGACTATGGTCCCCTGTACATAAACCAGAAACAGCTGATAATACTTTTATTGGACCACTAAAATATTAGAAACAGGCAAACTTTTGAGTTCAGCAGAGCCCTTCATCAAGCTAAGCACTGCAGAGCTTCATGGAGTAAAGGGAGAAGCATAATAGTCCAAACACTTATACTGACCAGATGTTGTCTCAAGATATCTAATAATGTAGAAAGGAAGTAAAAGGCAGGTCCATGAAATTAAGAATGGATCTTCATTATTTCATATGATTTTTAAAGGATCCATAAAAATCATGGATCTAAGGCACAGATCTTCATGATTTCATATGATTTGTATGTGAGATCCTCCCTAAATTACTGTCAGATCATAGATTCCATTTGCACTCTACAGATTACACCACAGAAATCATTGGTCCTTGAGTGCCTGGCTTTGGATTGGTGTAAAAATTTGGTTTTGAGGCACAGATCCTCATGGATCCACATATTCTTTCTGTAAGATCCTCTCCAAACCACTGTCCAATTATAGGCCCCATCTGCACCCACAGACTACAATACAAAAATCATGGGTCCTTCAGTGCATGGCTTTGCTGAGGTGTAAAAATGGCAATCCAAGCCATGGATCCTCATGGATTGACATGATTTGTATGTACCCCGTTTCCCCGAAAATAAGACCTAATCTGAAAATAAGTCCTACAATGATTCTTCAGGGTGCTCGTAATATAAGCCCTACCCCAGAAATAAGCCCCAGTTAAGGGAAACACCGCCCTCCACCCTTGTGCCCCAACCAGAAGATGACATGACTGTATTTGAATAAATGTAAATTATTGTACATGAAAAAAAAAATAAAACATCCTCTGAAAATATGCCCTAATGTTTGGAGCAAAAATTAATATAAGACTCTCTCTTGCTTTCGGGGAATCAGGGTAGGCTCTGCCCCCAAACCACTGCCAAATAATGAGTCCCATTTGTAGCCACAGACGACAACATAGAGGCCATGGGTCCTTCAGAGCCTGCCACTGCAGTGGCACTAAAACATCCTCATGGACCCACAGGATTATGATGTAAGATTATGCCCAAACCACTGTCCAATCATAGGCCCCATCTGCGCCCACAGATTACAACACAGAAATTATGGGTCCAGTGCACAGCTTTGGGGAGGGAGGAGAACATTAATCCGAGCCATGGATCCTCATGGATTCACATGATTTCTATGTGGCTTCTGCCCCAAACCAGATCCTGTTCCTCTGCATTGATCATGGGTATTGTGTGTTTTTTGGCAATTATGTTTCTGTAGCACATCTCAGGCTGACCTAAAAAGTCTCACAAAGAACAAGATGGAGTTGCCTCCCATCCCATGTCCAAAGACTGACTGGAAAGACAGTTGCATCTTTCTTCAAGACTAGACCACAACGCAGGTGGGTCAGGCCTGATCAAGGCTGTTCAACATTGGCCACAGAAATCTGGGTCAGGCCTGATCAAGGCTGTTCAACACTGGCCACAGAAATTAGGGGGCTTCTTTTAAAAAACAAGTCACACTCCTTCCTATAATGAATATTGCCTAATGCATGGTATGTAATGTGGGAGATCCAGATATGAGATGCAGAAAAGGGGGGGGAGTTTCCACCCTTCACACAGAGACAAGAGACCTGGGGTTCCTGGAGGCTGGTTGCCCAGGAGACCATCTCTGGCCTTTGGCTCTCATGGTGGAAAAAAGAAGGGGAGCCTCCCTCAACCCAGCCCAGCTATCCAGGATGGACCCCTGCTGACCAGGGAACCTTCGTTCTGCCAGATGCAGGGGGGGGGAATTAACTTCCCAGGTGGGCTAGTAGTGAATGGGAAAAAGGAGAGCAACATGGCCCAGGATGCTGAGAAGGGAAGCCAAGAGGGAGTGGTGTTTTGTGCTTGTGGGAAGTGACCATGATCCTTAGGCAACTTTACAGGTGTCATTTTAAAAAGGCTTGCTGTTAGTCAGGCTTATGCCTCTGGGCACAGGAGCCGGGCCGAGAAGTGAACATGATCCTTAGGCTGCCTCTGGGCACAGGAGCCGGGCCAGGAAAGCAGCTGGCAGCCCGGCCTACATCGGCTCCACTGAGCCTTGTGAACGCTTAGACTAGTTTTCATTCAAAAATGGGTGGTTGCTCTGCTGGATTCCGGAGCCTACTGTGTTTACGTGGTTGCCGCAGCAACACAATTCCAAGCCAGCCCAAGGCCACTGGTCATTCCTGCTCCTGACCAGGTCAGGGACAGAAGCAGCTCCAGGGCTCTCCTGCTTGATGGCTCTTGGTGGGGCAAGACTTTGGCTTCCACCAAGCTCTCCAGCATCATCAGCACATCCACCGTGGGGCTGAGATCCATGTCCGGAGGGCTCAGAGTAAGTATAACCAGGAGGGTTTATGGGGCAGAGTGGAGAGCAAGGGGGCACCTCTTTTTGCCCTCCAGCCAGCAGAGAGTAGACTAACCAGAGGAGGAGGATAGGGGGACTCACGTTCCAGCCATTTCTGGTGTGGATTTGTCAGCTCTTCAGAGGTTTTGGGGGATCTGGTCCCCAACCTACATAGCATAAAAAGCTTTGCCACTGGAGTCCTTCAGAAGTGGGGAAAACATTTTTTTGGGGGGGGAGGAGGAGCTTCGTCTTGGTGAAGCTAGCAGCTCTCGGGAATAGCTCCCGGGAAAAGCTAGAACCACTTTGGTCTGGGACCCTCCCAGAAATGGGGGGCCGAGGAAGAGTCAGGAGAGACCCTTCTGCAGCAGTTGGTGAGCCACAGAAGTTAGAAGATTGGGCAGCAACTCGATTTTTCTTTCTTCTGGAAATTCACATTAGCACAGACGAAGACGGGCGCCATTTTTGGCAACTAGCCAAAGACAGCTCCGTTCGCCGAGAATAAGAAAACAGAAGCACGGCGAAAGTATACATCAAAGTAAGTGGAAGCCCTTGTTCTATGAAAAACCTCATTAAATAAAGAACAAGTGATTGTGTGTAAATTTATGACCAAATGGGATAAGGAGCGGCATTCCTAGCATACCAGCTTTACTTAAGCTGAAGATCGAGTTATCTCTAAAGGAACAGCCAGGCAGAAATAGCTCGTGTCTCCATTAAAGGAGGAAAAATAACTCTTGAAGAATCAACTGACAGGCTTTGAAAAAATAAATTCTGTTGCAAGCTGTTCACTTTGGACCCTTTTCCTCTTTCGGATATATATTTTTAGACTGTGTGGGACTCTGCTTTCCGTGGATAATATATTTGCCGGGACTCTGATTGCTGGACCTC